ATTTGACGTCACTCGTAGTCGAAAACGAAACGTCTTACTATGTCCTTATGGTAGAAACGTTACCGATCAGAGGCTCGTAGCTTTAATTATACACTAATATTTTATTAATTACGATTCTTACTTAATTAAATAAAAATAAAAATTGATTATAAATAAGAAAAATCCGGAATATTGAGCAAATCTTCGTAATTTTTACGTGTAAAGTTGAAGTTAAAATGAGTTTTTCTACTTTGTAAATGAAATCTATTTTATCTATTTTATGATTTTATAACAACAATAGTTTCTTAAAACGATTAATTTTGGTAAATCCTACGTAGGTGATTTATATATAAGTAAATTAATTTAATTTCTATCGTCAAACTACTATATTTTTTTTTGAACTAAAANTACAAATTAAATGCTACATAAAAACAATTAATTAAATCAGGTACAAACTTTTTTTAATTTTTTATTGTTATTACAATTTACTTTTCTTTTCACAGCGAAACGATCATGTTTAATTAAATTATTCAAAAATTTCAATCTAATCCATACACGTTGCTTTACATATGTGTATATAATGTCTTCTGGCAAGTTAATTGTCTGTTTAATTAATGATGTAATAGATGAAACCGTTTTACATTTCAAATGCAGTTTAACAGTTTTTGTAAAAATTGATTCCATTTTTTTTAACTAAATTAAAGAAATCTTCTGACAGTTGTGACAGTCCACCAAAAGATAAACCCTGAACAAGGGACATCATTGTATAATTATGTTCATTTTTATTTTGGTGACTGACACTTCCTAAATTTGGATATTTTTTTTGTATTTTCTTGCAATCCACCCTGCCAAATATTGTAATCCATCATTTTTTAATTCATCTAATTCATCAGTTTTTAATTCTACATTTTCCTGAGATATATCACATAAATCATCATCATTTACATTGCATGAATTTTCAGATATTCCTTGTTCTTTAGAACTAGATATATCTGAAACTTCTTTCAGTAAATCTGCCTCTTCAAACATTTCATTTATTAAATAATTTTCAGCTATCTGATCTTCTGTGTTTAATTTATTTTGCAATATTCCTGGTGATTTGCCTAAAATTATCATTCTTACTCTATATATTACTTCAAGTGGTGTAAAGTACTATTTTTAACTTATTGCTCTACAACGATTTTCATTCCGGAAAGAGCCAGTACCTAACGGGTACTTTACGCAGGTTCGCGTTTGTTAGTTTGCCAGGCCTGGACTTTTCACGTGCACTGAAGTAAATTAAAGACAAGTTATTCAAAAATCAAAAAAATGTTTAATAAAGATTCTAGAAATACTATGTACAATATTTATAACAAACAACAAATTTATTCAATAAAATAAATCCAAAGTCAACCCGACAAAACTCAATCTTATTCTAACTTAGAACTATTCCCCTTGGAATTCCGACAAAATCAATCCTTAACTTAGGTACAAAATCTCTTACAACTACAAATCCTAACCGTCACCTCAAGTATACTAGGAACCTTTTTCCAACTCAAGCCTTTTCCTATTCCTCGATCCACAAATCGAATACTGCAATCGCCTCGGACTATTTCATAATGGACACCTCGTTCACTGCTACTAGCACACCAATGCTTATTCTTTTCAGGAGCTCACCTCTGCCGTCTTCACTTGAGCTATGCTATTTATAGTCTGAGGTGACGTCACAGTTTCTAAGTGAGACACTCCCCTCATTTACATACTTACACGTAACATTCACTTTTTCTCGTTTTATCTGGTAGCTTAATTCCCGATAATACTTTGTTAACCTTTTAGTCTTTTGTTGAACAATTATCGGGATGTTTCCACACCGGCAACTTGCGCCGGACAAGTACATTCTGGCTAAGCGCAAGTTCGAATTCATGCTCACTCAAGGGATCTGCCAACCGTCCACCAGCAGCTGGTCATCGCCATTACACCTCGTCCCAAAGAAGAACGACCAGTGGCGACCCTGCGGTGACTACCGTCTACTCAACGCGCAAACTGCACCCGACCTTTATCCTGTTCCTCACATAGAGGATTTTGCATCCACTCTTCACAGTTGTGGGTACTTCTCAACCATTGACCCCATCCGTGCTTTCCACCACATCCCTATAGCCTCGGAAGATATTCCTAAGACAGCCGTCACCACACCGTTTGGACTATATGAGTTCAACTTCATGTCTTTTGGTTTGTGCAATGCCACGCAAACATTCCAGCACTTCGTGGACGAAGTTACTCATAACCACGAATTTTGCTACGTCTTCATCGACGACATACTTATAGCGTCCCGAAACGAAACTGAACATCTGCAGCACCTACGCAAGTTATTTACCAGACTTCACGACTTCGGTGTTGTAATCAACGCATCAAAATGCGTATTCAGAAAGCAAGAAGTACAATTCCTCGGGTATCTGGTCAACCCAAAAGGAAACCGCCCACTTCCGCAAAAAGTTGAGGCAATCATCGAGTTCTCTAGACCAACTGCCGTCCATGATCTACGCCGATTCCTGGGACTAGTCAATTTCTATCGCCGCTTCATACGCAACGCAGCTCTCATCACTGCAGAACTCAACAAACTGCTTCAGGGCAACCCAAGCCTGAAAGATCACCTCGAGTGGACCCCCGAGGCCGACAGTGCCTTCTGCAACGTAAAGAACGCCGTTGCCAGTGCCGCACTCCTACCCCACCCGTCACGAAACGCACATCTCTCCCTAATGGTTGATGCATCATCCACTGCTGTGGGAGCATTCCTACAGCATCTGTAGCATAAAGGAGATGAAAGCCCAGGCTACTCATAGGTATTGCCTGGGTGAGAAGGTAAGATGTTAGGGAAGGTGAAGGGGAAGGAAAAAAAAGGAAAGATGATAAAAATGGGAGACTCATGAGCGTCTGCATCACATTTATTAAATTATAAACAATAAAGAACAAAATATAATAAAATACACAAAATTCATTGAAGACAACTTGCTGAACTAATTATGTACACTATTTACATGCTGAAGTATAATTTTCCATATTGTATCGAATAATACTTTCAATTACATACTTAAGCCTTGTTACAATAATAAGCCAAAGAAATATACCAATGTAATTGCATATACACGCCATCAACATGCTAATGTAGTAAATCATGCATAAATTAACAACCCCTGTACTACTAAAGTAAAAACAGTTAAGAAGAAAATATAATTAAATACAGAAAATACATTGACGACATTTCGATGACCCCATAGTTATGTTCCCTATTTACAATCAGAGGTAAAATATCGTATAATGTATCTTTACCTATTGTACAGTCAATACATTTATAAACAGTCAATTTCATACATAAGATGTCAAGGAATGCATATACACATATAAAATAACAATCGTATTACAGTATAATATTATAATACATTTGCAAATACATTGGTAACATGAGATGGAAGAAAGGCAGTTTAACAATAACTTGTTAAATAACTAATGTACCTTCAAGTAGAATAACATAATAAATACAAACTATTAAGTATACAAACTTTATATGTTGAAGATTCAGTTGTTGATGAACGAAGGTTCCAGAGCTCCTGTATTCGATATGAATTGCTTCAGTGCTCCGAAGATGTCAGCTTCTACTAAAATTGTTAACTGGCAAGGCCAGTTAAAACCTTTTCTGAGGACAGCACCCTCCAGAAGGACTCTGTGATTCTCAAACTTTGTGCAATCAAATATTAGGTGGTTAGCGTTCTGTATTGTGACATTATCACAATTGCAGTAAGATTAGTCCCGAAAGCCAAACCTATGCAGATACTGTAAAAAGTTCCCGTGTTCGGTTGTAAGTTGGGTAATAAAGAAGTTTGTGTGGAAAGCCTTACTTTGTAGTCTTTTTAGGGTGTTAGGGAAGAACTGATAAGTCTTTTTTCCAGAGTTTCCTTCTTCCCATTCACATTGCCATAATTGTATGGCTGTTTGATGAATCACATTGTTGACAGTTTTATTAGCAGCTTCCCAATAACTTGGAGTAGCAGTTGACACAGCAGCTTGTTTGGCCATATAGTCTGCAATTATGTTACCCTCCACACTAGAGTGGCCCCTTATCCATGAAAAGGCCACACTGTTATGGCAACTCAATAATTCCATCCTTATAAGGTTAGTAAGGGTATCACTATCATTCTTTAACTTTTTAATTACCACTTGGCTATCCAAGCAAATCCTGATTTTTTGATTCCTGATCCTAAAACTATTAATGTATTTCAATGCCTGGAAAATTGCTCTGCTTGGTTTATGGTGCAAATATCAGAAAGTTTAAAGCTTGCTTGGTAAGTGGTTATATTTTTGTTGTCCTTTATTACAAATGCAGATCCCACATTGCAATTGCTTTTGGAGCTGTCCGTAAAAATTTTTAGATTTGGAATTGGACTATCATTGAAATCTAGTAAGGTTTGTTTGTTTTGGTTTGTTTTAGTTTTTTTGGCACAAGAGCCATGTAGGCTAAGCTGCGCCAAAGCAAATGGTAAAAATTTTAAAATATCACACTAACAAACATAGGACATTATTAGATAATAAACAAATAAAAAACAACAAATATATACAACAAGATAACTAAGCAAAAACAAGGTAAATAAAACTCTAAAATAAGTAAATAAATAAATAACTAATCAAATATCTCTATACATATTATTCACTTTCAGAAAGTCCACTATGTTGTCCAGATTTGGCCTCTGGCCCAAAATCTCTCTCAAACTTGCATTTCCAAAATGCTGTCTACGACTTTGATCGAGAGCAACGCAGTGGCAAAGTATGTGTTTTACACTTAGTTAGTTAGTTTAAGTTTTTTTGGCACAAGAGCCATGAAGGCTATGCTGTGCCATAACAAAAGGTAACATTATACAAAACTAAATATATATCTCATCAGTAACTAATAAAACACAAAAACATACATANCAATAACTAGTATATCCAGCGCACAAGGTTTCCAGGCCGATTTCTGTCTGCTCAATTCTGAAGGAAAAATCTGTCTCATAATGGAGTATAAGCCATGGGACTACTTCATGGATTTGGATTACAACAAGTCGAGTGAAAAAGCAGTAAAGCAAGCACTAAAAACCTGTGCTGATCCAAGTGACCGCATCAAAAATCCTGCCTGCGTACTAAGCTACATTCCGAAGACAGCCATGGCTGATGACATTTGTAATTTCAAAGGTGCTATGAAGCAACTTGCGGCATATATGTTGTCTTTGAACAATCGGAAAGCTTTTGGGATACTGACCACGTACTGCCATACGTACTTCGCCATTCTGGAACATCCTGGAAAAGGTCGTCCTACGTTGAAAGTGTCGAGAGCTGTGAGATACAGTGAAAATGATGTTCTGGAACGGGTGTTTAAGTTTATTGAGTTGGCAGTCAGAACGCCCGCTGTTGAAATGAAGGACAAGAATGATAGTACCAATGTGTCACCCGTACAGATAGGCAAAAGGAATGCAGGACAGTGCCAAACAAAAGCATCGTTTAAGAAAGGCGACAGAACAAAGCGATTAAAAGGGAATAAAGACTCCAAGAATGGAAATAGTGGAAGTAGTCCAAAGAAGCGGGCCACTTACGGTGATTACATCATAGACGGCATCATAGGAGAAGGAAGGAGTGGCTGTGTCTTGCGGCTTGTTGACCGAAATGGTTGCTCATTTGCAGCTAAAACAATCGGGGAGTTTAAATACAAAACAAAAATGGAGAGGAAAGAAATCATTTCTGAACTTCAAAACGAAATAGAAATTTATGAAGCATTGAAAGACTTGCAAGGCAGGGTCTTGCCTCGATTACACTTTGAGGCTTATTTAGATCGTACAAGGTACTCTCTGATAATGGATGGACTAGACGCCGACCCACTATGGACAGGACATCCAACGGAAGATCAAAAAAGAGCAATTCTTGCTGTTCTGCATCAGATCCACGAGAGGGGGATTTTACACGGTGACATTAGGAAAGAGAACATTTTATTAGACCGGAAGGACAAAAAGAGAGTCTACTTCATTGATTTTGCACTTTCATCAGTGTGTGATGTGCAGAAGGAATTCCAGGGAGAAATGGAGGAGCTCAGATCACTTCTAGAAATGGATCAGGAGCCGAAGTCTTTCAAGACCTTGCACAAACACAAGAAGAATAAAGAATGAAAATGCAAAGTGCACTTGTGGTATAACATTTTTTGCTAAACATGCTTCTGGTCTTGTTGTATTTTTTTGAGAAATTAAATTCATGTTTTTAGGAAAACTATGGTCTGCTTGCTTTTAATGTTTTCGGGTAAAGAGTGCATTTGGGAGATGTAAAATGTAGATGTTTTTTTGTAATGCTTTAATCNATGAATTAAGATAGTTCAGTGTTTTGCAAATAAACAAATTAAATAGAATAATTAAAGAAAAAAATCAAAGTACAAATTATTAATTTATTTGTGATCTCAAATATTTTAAGAACATACAAATGTATAGATCCTGATATATGACCCTTTACAAATCAGCAAATAAATATCATTATTCGCTAATTTGTATAAAGGTGTTCTATACATTCATTTCTGTATTAATCAGTTTCCTATAATAAGAAATATAGTAAAAAAAAATTCTTTAAATTATCAGATGCTAAAGTTACCTTCTTTGCTTGAAAATATTTCTTGACCATATCTATTGTATCCTACAGGTTGTGGAATGGCTCTTGCAGGGGTTGCCTTTAATTTAATAAGTAATAATAAAAATGATCACTTTTATTCTAAATATTTACATAATTTAAAAAATGTTGCATACCCTTGGTGTCTGAACTGGTTCAGGTTGATTTCTGTTCCCACCTTCTTCTCTTGCTTTAATAGATTGTAGTAATGGAAAAATGCTCTTGGCAAAATTCTAAAAATTAATTATTATTAATTAATTAGATCTGTAAAAAACTTTAAATAAATTGTCTGAATAAGTTACTATTATTTTCATTTTCAAATTGTTTAAAATACATGTTTATTCATTGACTTGACATTGGCATTTGATTCTTTAGACAGACACCTTTTTTGGAGGCAGCTTTTGAAGATTGGTTTGAGTTATAAATTTGTAAATTTTTTGATTCAGTTATATACTAATACAGTAATACAGAGGCATATGTGTCTGGTAAACGGGATACATCTGATCTTTTTTTCACATTAAAAGGAGTGAAACAGGGTTGTGTCTTGAGCCCAATATTGTTCAATTTATATCTAAATCTACTTGTAAGAAAATTTAGTGACTCCAAATTAGTGTGGGCATTGATCTTCTGGGAACAGAGGTGAAAATCTTGACATACACAAATGATTTGGTTGTTATGGCAGACTCACCTATGGGTCTGCAGAGACTGATTGACTTTCTGGGATATACACTACAGGAGTTAAAACTTTCTGTTAATATTTATAAATCTAAAATAATGGTATTCTGAAATGGAGAAAAACATTTTAAAAATGAAAATTGTTTATACAAAATTGTAAAATAGTAGTTGATGAGTATAAGTATTTGGGTGTATTTTTCCAGTCTAATGGATGTTTTTTAAAGCATTTAAAGTATATTCATAGTAAAGTGAATATTGGAACAGGCAAGATTATTAAGGCATGTGTATCTGGAAGATTGTTATGCTGGAAAGATAAATTAAAATTATTCAAGTCATTTATTCAGTGAGTAGTGTTATTTGGGTCAGAGATTTGGGGCTTTGATTGGAGAGAGAGATAATAATTTACAAATTAATTTTATTAAATGTTTATAATCTTTAAAAAGATGGATTCCATTGTATATTATACAGTATATTTGGAGTACCAAAGGATTCCTCTTTATTTTAATACAATAAAAGATAATTTAAGATAGTTACACAAACAGTCAGTTAGTAAACTTACAGAGTCCGCTAAATTATATTTAATCTCTCAAAGAGTAGTGTGGAAAGATCAAATTGTGTCCTTGTTGCAAAATTTTGGCTATTGAAATGATCCTATAATATTAAACGAAACTGATGTCTCTGGTATTTTAATGAGATTGGCAAATAATTATGTAAATGAGTTTAAAAGTAGAGCTGCTAAATATAATAAGTGGTATTTGGATATTTTTAATGAATGGGGGCTCGATAACCTATTTGAATACAGAAAGACCATTTTGCATTATACAATCAGTATTATGTGTGTGATGTATTATATTTAGAAGAATGATGGCTCTGTGTTTGGATTATTGTGAATTCTGTTGCACTCATGTTAATTTTGATGTTTTTCATGTAGTAACTGAACATAAGGCTCTGACATCTGTCAGACAAAAATGTTTTGGTGAAGATTATTTATCCGTTTAATCATATAAGCAATTTTTACAAGATTATAATAAATACGATTGTATTTATAGTTTTATCATTAAGATAAATGGCTAAAGGAATCTAATTTGTTTAGTCTAAGATATATTTTTCATAAGTTTAACCACCAGGCAATGTGAATATAGTATATTAGTGTATTAGTGGATGATTTAGTGCAGGGGTGTCCAGCCCGCGAGCCGCATGCGGCCCAAGGCACATTCCAACGCAACCCAATAAACGTGTAAAAAAAACTGACAAACTTTTTAATTTAATTTATTTATTTCAATGGCATAAACTAAAAAAAAGAAGTTTCACAAAGCCGTAAACCTTTATATATATATTTTATTTTTGAGTAGAAAGAAAATATCTTCAAATACTTGGAAATGTGTGAATGAGGAAGGAATAATAAATAAAGCTAAAGTTGAGACTCAAAGAATTATAGACCCAAATTCAGGAAAAGAAGAGGAAGGCCAACGGATAAAAAGTAGTGAAGATGGTTAAATAGACTTTCTGTTATGCAAATATAAATCCATAATTTTTCAACCTTCCTCACTTTTTTATCTTTTGTCCTTTCTCTCCTTTCCCTGAATTTGGGTCTATTATCCTTTGAGTCCCAACTCCAGCTTTATTTAGTATTCCTTCCAGCATTGCATGATTTGGCTACTTTGCACTAAAGTTGTCTGCCCTTTTCTAATTTGGCGTAAAAAAAGTGTCTGTAAAAGTAATTTTTTAAAATATACTTTTTCGTGATAAAGATTTAATACTTATTACTATAATCTAGACATTGGTCCACAAGTATATTATATATACTTGTGGCCCAAAACTCCATGACATATTCCTATGTGGCCCAGAGAAACAAAAAGGTTGGACATCCCTGATTTAGTGCTTGACAGTTGGCAGTATTTATGGTCAGTGCTTTTGGGCATATTATAATTAATACAGGTAACCCCCATATAACACGGCACTTCTATAGCATGGATTCACTCTAACACGGTTCGCAAATTGGAAACATTCCCCGTATAACACAGTGTTTTTATAGCACGGATTCACTCTGACACGGTTCGAGAATTGGGTAAAACCCTCGTACAACAGAAAATGTAATAAATTTTTACATACTTAAGTACTAATAGTTCACGAAAATAATAATTTTTGTGAACTATTAGTACTTAAGCATGTAAATTTTCTCTTCTCGCCTTCTGTCGATACACGTGGTCCTTCTCGAAACTTGTTTCAATGTTGCCAGATCACGACGCTTCTGCTTCTGGTGTTGCCGAATGTTTTTTCCTTATTCCATACTTGCTTTATTCTTCATAAGTGCTTAGCACCATATAAGGAAATTTATAAAGACCTTTTAACTAAAAGCAAGCAATCTAAAATTACATACATTATGCAAAAGGTAAAGCATGGATCTGAAGATAATGCAGAAAAATGCTCAGAGGATAAGGATAACTTGCCAAAAAGAAAACGCTCTCTGTTAATTAATAATGTTTTTAATGATGACGAAGAAACCATTGTTTAATTTATATTAATATGTATCACTTAAAAAA